TTTGCTCAGGCTTGATCTAGGAAAGGAACAAGGCAGGAGCCCCTCCAGCTTAATCAAAGCTGGACTGCAGCTACCTTGGTTCCTAAAGCTCAGACTTTCCAAGCTTTGCCTCGTTTTATTTTGCCTGTTTAGAGTTTTCCCTCATTTACCTGGTGAAGCTCTTTTCTGGAAACAAAGCCAGCTAGGGGGTGGGAAGGAGATGTCCTCACCTGAGTCCCCCTAGAACTGGTGGCCACAAAAGGGGTTGGCATATCACTGTGACACTCAGCACTTTCATCACAGACCTGGCACGAAGGTGAAGGCATTACCAAGGATGAAGGCACAAGATGATTCATGCATCACATTTGTAGATCCCACAAAGCTAGACTCAGAGCTAAGGTGCTGGATAACAGTTACTGTCCAAAAAGATGTCCTCAGGCCACAAGGCTGCAGCATAAGAGGAGGCTTAATAGAGGTAAATATAACATCCTTCTAACTTGGATTCAATAAGCCAATTTCACATGTTCAGTATGGGTAAGCCATGGCTAGACAGTTTGTGTGAGAAAGATCTGATGGTTTTAGTGGACTGCAAGCTCATTGTGAGTCAACAGTGTGACATTTCAGCCAAAAATTGAAGGTGACCTTTATCTGCATTCCTTAATGGGGCACAGTGTCCAGAAGAGCCAGCCATGAAGCCAGGGGCACCTGAGTCCAAGTCCCAAGTCTCTGACACACACTGGTTGTATGACCCTGGGTAAGTCACATAACTTCTGAGGGCTCCAAGCAACTCTCTTAAGATTCCCAGTTACGGAGAAGGTACCTATCTACATTGGCAGCAGGAAGTTCTCTGTGCCAGTGATACCATTGGTCCAGTCCCTATCCCTATCCTAGTGTCCAGAACAAGGGGGGATGATAGTCTTCCTGGACTCTGCCCCATCTGTCAGACCACGTCTAGAGCCTGGTGTTCAGTTCTGGGCACCACGTGATCACCATCAAGCCTGTCACAGCAAAATGGGATTGGTTATTCTTTGTGGCCCCACATCTTCCAGGGAAGATGATTTTGCTTCATAGAAGAACTTTAACCCAGTCAGAGCTGTTCAGCACCAGAATGGGCTGCTTCATGAACAGCAAGCTCCATCTCCCTGGAAGTCACAGGCTTCAGAGCTGGAAGAGAGCTTAAAGGTCATCTAATTCAAGCCCTTCATTTTACAGGAGAGGAAACTGAGACTTGAAACAAGTGACTTGGCCAAGTTCATGCATGAAATCAGGCAGATTGAGGGTTGGAACCCGGGTCTGATTCTCAGGATCAGGCACTTTCCACTCTACCACCCAGGCTCTCACTGTCCAACCAGACTCTGGACGCTCATCTCTTAGGGACATTATAGAAGAGACTCCTGAAGTCCCTTCCAGCTTTTATGGACTCAGTTTGCCCATTATTCATTTGCCCTGTTGTGTCTGGGAGTCTGTGACTCTCCTTCAGACCTGATGATAATGACTTGTATCTCCTCCCCTAGATGGTCTCTTCAGTGACCAGGGTTCTAAACAGGAAAGGGAGAAGAAGCTGAGTTGGGGGAAGGAAGGGAAGAGAGCACAGACCAAGTTGGAAAAGTGTGTGGGAGTAGGCTAACCCTCCCTTGGGGGGTCTCAGTTTCCCCATCTATAAAATAGCATCAATAATTCCTGCCTGATCTTTCTCCAAGAGATGGGATTAGACTCAGTGAGAATCACTCAGGTTCAAAATCCAATTAGAACATAAGCTCTTAAGAGCAAGGATTCTTTCTTTATATTTGAATCCCAAGTGCCTAGCATAGTGCTAGGCACACAGCAGGAGCTTAATAAATGGTTGCTGCTTGCTTGATGGTTGATTGAGTCATCTGTAACACTTCGGTCTCTCGCACCCAACTCCACTTGGCAGCCAAGACTTTTAGATTCTATCTCAGCAACGCTTTCATCCCTCCCTGCCTCTCTACTCCCATCACCACCGTTTATTTCAGTTCAATCTCATTCCTTCTTGCCTCAGCTATTGTATTAAGAGTCTGACAGTCTCCCAGTCTCCATTCTACCCTCTCTCCCATCTGTCTTTCATGTAGTTGCCCAAATCTACATAAACCACAGTTCTGGCCGCATCATTTCCCTCACTCAAACGCTCTCAATAGTCCCTCCCATTCCTTACCAAATAAAGCATAAAATTCTGACCCTGGCAATCAAGGCCCTGAGCAATCTCATTACAACCCACCCTTCTAGCCTTATCTCCTACTCTTCCCATTTCAGCCTTACCAGACTACGAGCTGTTTCCTCTTTTGCCTCTATGTTCTCACTCATTCCCTGTCTGCCACGTGCTCCTTCATCTCCACCATCTCTTCTTACAAAGCTCAACCCAAGTGCTACCTCCTCCATGAAGCCTACCCAGATGTACTTCCTTCTCTCAGCTAGTCATTTCTTTCCTCAGATTTTCCTGGATCACTTACTCTGGATCCCTCACATCAATTTGCTCCTTTTTTTTGCCCTGATCTTTGCACCTGGAGTATTTGCCACTACTAGACTCTAAACTCCTTGAGGGAAGGAAGGGGCTACCATCATTTTTCATCTCTATATCCTCAAGGTCCAACATGGGTATTTGCAAGTCATCAAATCAACAGATAATTAAGCCCCTACTATGTGCCTCTGTGCTAAGCACTGGGGATACAAAACAAGTCCCTGCCCTGAAGGAGCTTGCATTCTGATGGAGGAGCTCACATTCTAATAATAGACAGACCCCTAATAAAGGTATACTGAGTAGTAAGAATTAGAGCTGGTTTATACACTTATGATACACATATTTTATAAACTTAAAGTGCTTTCTGTACATTACCTCCATTTGATCTTCACCATAACCTTACAAGATTAGATAGTACAGGTATTCAGCACTTCTTTACAGATAGGGAAACTGAGGCTAAGATTGAATGACTTGACCAAGGTCACACGGCTCATACAGAGCAGAATCAGGATTTGAAGTCCAGGTTTTCTGCCTCCAGATCCTTTCTTTGCAGTACACAGCAATGAAGGGAGGGGAGAATGTCTGTCTGTAGGAAACAGTGAGGTATTATCAATGGGTACATGTAGCAGTAAGGGGGTGAAAATTGTCAAGTCACATAGGCAGGACTGTTTCTTCCCTTCAACATTTGATGTCTACTTCTAGGGGATAGAGAGTTTACTTTGCACTCTACCAGACTTAGAGATTCAATAGCATGATGGAATTAGAGGACCTGGTTCAAATCCCAGTTTTACCACCTATTTCCCATGTGACCTTGGATTTGCTTCTCTATACCTCAGTTTTCTTATCTGTAAAATGGGGAGGGGGTGACTCAGATGATCTCATGTCTCTTTCAGCTATAAATCTTTGATTCATGCACACATACCCATTAATCTTTCCAGCATGACTTCTGTGCTCCTCCCCCCATCCCTTTCATTCTTTGTTGGGAAAGAAGAACTCATTTTGCTTGGTCGCAGCGGTTGGAATGAGGATTGATGGATGGAAGGTGCAAAAAAAAATAGGCTTTTTTGTGAGGCAATTGGGGTTAAGTGACTTGCCCAGAGTCACACAGCTAGTGAGTGTTATGTGTCTGAGGCCAGATTTGAACTCAGGTCTTCCTGACTCCAGCTGCCCCAGAATTTAGGCTTCTTAAAGATTAGATCTGGTCCTAAAATAAAAGGAGCTTCTTAAATGGGAATAAGTTCTTCGTCCCTGGAGCTCTCCAAGCTGGATGACCAGTTCAGTTTACTCAAACTAACATTTACTAGATGCTCTCTCTATATAAAGCTACTTACAGATTGAGTATTGTGCAGAAAGGATTTCTATTTGATTGAGGATTGGGCTAGAACAGGGGTGGGGAACCTGTAGCCTCGAGGCCACACGTGGCTCTCTAGAATTTGTTCTGTGAAATTTGGATTCAGTCAAAGGGCCAAACTTGAGGACCTAGAGGGCTACATGTGGCCTCAAGGCTACAGGTTCCCCACCCCCGGGCTAGACGCACAGTATGGGAAGGAGCATTAGATTTGGAGTCCTGATTATCAGGGTTGGTAATTACTCTGCTAATTACTTCCTGGGTGACCTTGGGCAAGTCACTTAACTCTCTGGGCCTCAGAGCCCTCATCTAGAAGATCCTCACCTTTAAATCCTATGAGACTTTGAGCTCCCTTGCAGTTCTGAGAATCTATGATTCTTCCCCATCCTTCTTCTCTCCCCTCATACTTCTAGGAAGATGCCATACAGACAGAGAGGACACATAGACTTCAGCAGAGGCCGGTAGACCCAGAGACACAGATTCTAATCAACCCTAAAATAGGAGACCCCTTCTCAGGCCACTAGAAACCTGTCCCTGAAAGGGGGAGTATCATAGCAGTAGAAGAGATATGGAGGCAATCACTAAGGCCCTTTGAGCAGGGGGTGGGCAAAGTAACCCACCTGTCCTCTGCCTGCCTTCTGATCTTTCTGGTGTCTGAAAAGCACCTGCTGCCCTGCCTCACAGTAAACTGGGACTGAGAGACACTGGCAGGCAGAAAGAGAAGATAAATGAGAGTGGCCTGGAGAGGCAGGATAGAGGGGAAAGTAGTTTGAGAGTGGGAGGGGGAAGGAGGAAGGAACGTGCATTTATTAAGCGCCTACTGTGTCCCAAATGGGCCCAGAGCTGGGCCTCCAGTCAGGAAGCCTCATTTTTCTGAGTTCAAATCTAGCTACATACTTACAACTGGGTGACCTGGGCAAGTCATCTAAACCTGTTTGCCTCAGTTTCCTCATCTGTAAAATGAGCTGGAGAAGGAAATGGCAAACCACTCCAGTATCTTTGCCAAGAAAATCCCAGTTGGAGTCACGAAGAGTCGGACTCGATTGAAAATGACTGAACAACAATGTTCCAGGCACTGTGCTAAGGGCTTTGCAAATAGGATCAATAATAGCAAAGACTGGAAACAGAGACATGCCAAAGATGCTGATGTGTCTCGAGGCAGGTGACCTGAGTTCAGATCCTGATTATACCACTAACTCTCAGTATGACCTTGAGCAAATTCTTTCTTGAATAAAAGCCTCTGTTCCATCAGCCGTGAAAAGGAGCGGTCGGGCTGGCTGGCGTCTAATGTCCCTGTCAGCCCTGTCAAAAGACACAATTCGGAGACTGAAACAGAGACGTGGAAAGAGGCAGGAAGAAAGGGGCTGGGGAAGAGACGAGGGGAGCCAGAGAGTGCAAGCTCAAGCAGAAGGACAGATGGATTGCTGGACGGCAGGGGCGAGGGAAGGGAGAGCCGGACTCACCCCCGGATGGACTCGGGGACGCACGGACTCACCGAGCAGCAGCAGCGCGGACATGAGGCACCACAGCTGCGCTGCCATGCTGGCTAGATCCCGCTGGCGACTCGGAGCCCCTCAGTCGGAGCCCGGACTGGCCGGGCCTCAGCCCAGCTGCGTGCTCCGCGGCTCCTCACGCCCCCTGAGGAACCGGCTCCTCGAGATCTGACCCGGGCTCTGTCCACCCGTGCGCCCCCAGCCCCGCGCCTTCCTCTTGCTCCGGGCGTCCGGGTCCCAGCGCTGGTCCCCTTCTGGAGTTTCTGTCTGGATCCCCCTGTCCTGCTTCCCACTCCGCCCCGGGACGCGCCCTCCAAGAGCACCACGCCAGGCTCTGTGCGCCCTGAGTCAGCGTCCCCCTCTGGAATCTCCTCCAGCACCCAACACAATGCGCCCAGCCCCAAATGCGCTCCTGTGCCGTCTGTCACCCCACCACAGCTGGAGCAGTCTTAAAGGGGCCGCGAAGACTCCCCCATCCTTCAACCCGACCTCCGTGAGAACTCCTTGTAGCTCCAGGTCCCCGCCACGCCCCAGTCCCCTCCCCTGCCCCTTAGCTCTTAAGTTTGCAGGGACTTCCAGGTGTGTGAATTGGTGGAGAGGATTGAGAAGACCCTAGAGGAGCGAGCCCCCCTCACAGAGGGACCGGGGAGCTGAGTCTGGCGCAGCTCGAAGAATCTCTGTGGCCCTCTCCTTCCCACTCACCTGAGGCCCAGTCCCTCTGACTCTCTCCTCTTTCCCGATCTGGGTTTTGGGTCGCTCATACCCCTTGGCTTTGGCCTTACATCCTCCTCAGAGTCCCCACCACTCAACCGTAGAGACAGCGGGCATCGAAGAGGCAAGGTGTGTGTATGGGGGGTGGGATGTAGAGGTGGAGGGGAATGGCTAGCTGCTATGCTGGGGATGGGGAAGCTGCCAGATACCACCTCCCGTTCCCGACAGGACTCCAGCACCTGGAAGGTAGATCAATAACTCCAAACACAGTTGGGCCGGTGGTGGTTTGTCTGGGGAAAGAGAGAGAGGCCAGTATCCCAGAGTGGACACTGGGAGGCTGCTGCCGGGGAAGTACCAGCTCTCCCTCTCACATATAGCTTCATCCCTTCAGCTTAAAGTTCCAGTTCACAGAACTAGAAGGGCTATTTGTGATAGTTTAGTCCAACTAAACTTTTACAAATGAAGAACGGAGGCCCAGAGAATGGAAGGGACTTGACCGAAGTCACACAGAATTGGAGAACTGGAATTTGAACCTAGGCCTATTGGCTGAAGATCTGGTGCCCTTTCTTCCCCTGTACTTAATACTCCAAGGAAGAGGGAATCTCTAATCCTAGTTTGAAAGAATAGTTCAGGAAGCCAGAGCTTTACCGCTCTATGAAGGAAAGGTAGGGGAGGGATGTGGCCAAGGTCTGTGCCGAAGGGCTTTCCAGCAGGTGTCCTAGGCTAGGCTGGAGGTGAAGGGTGGGATAAGGATGGAAATGGGGGATGAGAAGAAAGAGACCAGGCTCTTGGCCTCTCAAACTTGATGGTAGCTTGGTTGGCATTGAATCTGTGCCTGATGCCCTTGACACCTTGCCTTTGGGACTTGGAGCCAGTCAGTTTGGTTTCCTTCAGTTTCTGAGGGAAAGAGCATTATGAAAAGCATCAACCTTGCCTGGTGTCTTTCTAGGGGTTCCTTTCCCTGGCCGGGCCAGGTGAGGATGATGGTTGTCAGAAATGGTACCATCTCAAGGAGATGATCATGCTGGGGTAATTAGAGCTTCTTAACAAGTAGACGACGACAACAACGACGACGACTACTACTACTACTACTACTACTACTACTACTACTACTACTACTACTACTACCACTACCACTACTTTTGTTGTTGTTTAGTCATTTTTCAGTCATGTCTGACTCCCTGTGATACTGGAGTGCTTGGCATTTCCTTTGTCATCTCATTTGACAAATGAGGAGACTGAGGCAAGCAGGGGTAAGTGACTTGCCCATGATCACACAGTCTGAGGTCATATTTGGACTCAGGTATTCCCGACTCCAGGCCTAGTACTCTCTCCATTGCACCACCTAGCTGCCACTACTGCTGCTGCTGCTGCTGCTGCTGCTACCACTACTGCTACTACTATTATTATCTCATCCAACCCTCTCGTTATACAGATGGAAAAATATAGACCCCAAAAGGGGTAAGGACTTGGTTACAAAGTAAGTCAGGGGCAAGACTTGAACCCAAGTCTCCTGACTTCAGAGAGCCTAAAGGAGTAGATGAGGCTGAGAGAGAGCCTAACTTGGGCCAAAGGAACATTGTCGGGCAGAGAAGTAAAGACAGACTACCTTACTTGGGGATCTGGAATGGAAAAATTTTGAGCTTTAAAGAGCTTTTCCTAGGGGTTGGCCTCCAAACCTGATCCATATCTATCTGATCTCAGTGTCCTTGTGAGGGAGCAAGAACAGATGGGGCTGATCCACCAACATGTGGATGAACCAGCTGTTTGGGAATTTTCCATTGTCGCTGCCCCCTCTGTCTCCAGCTGAGCAGGTATGTTTGTGGGGGGTGGGGGAAGAGAGCAGAGAGACAGGTGTCTGGTGGCCGAGGGCTATTTAAATTAAGACATTGGACTTAGAAACTCAGGAAACATGGATCATTTGGATGAGAAGAGGCTGTGGGCAGTGCTTATAATCTGTCCCTATCTTCTATCCCAGCAGCTATTTCACTAGGGACATGAGGGCTTGGAAGCAAGAAGAGAAATCAGGAAGAGAAGGGAGGAAGAGATTGTGACTACAAAGGAGAAAGATACTCGCAGCATCATCTGTCCCTGAAAGAAACAGGAGAGACAGAGAGAGACAGAGACAGAGAGACAGAGAAAGACAGAGACACAGACAGAGAGATAGAGAAAGACAGAAAGACAGAAACAGAAAGAAGGAGGGAGGGAGAGGGAGGGAGGGAGAGGGAGGGAGGAGAGGGAGAGGGAGAGAGAGAGAAGAGAGAGAGAAAGGGAGAGGGGAAGAGAGAGAGAAATGGACATAGAAAAAGACATTGAAAGATAAAGATAAGGGAAGACAGAGAGAAAGGCAGGCAGGCAGAGACACAAGGTGCAAGATAGTGACTCAGAGGTACCACATCACACCTATCAGATTAGCCAATGTGACAAAATAGGAAAATGATAAATGTTGGAGAAGATGTGGGAAAATTGGAACAATAATGCATTGTTGGTGGAGTTATGAACTGATCCAACCATTCTGGAGAGCAATTTGGAACTATACCCAAAGGGCTATAAAATGTGCATAATATCCTTTGACCCAGCAATAGCACTTCTAGGGCTATATCCCAAAGAGATCATACAAATGGGAAAAGGACCCACATGTATAAAAATATTTATAGCAGCTCATTTTGTGGTGGCCAAGAATTGGAAATTGTGGGGATGTCCATCAGTTGGAGAATGGCTGAACAAGTTGTGGTATATGAATGTAATGGAATACTATTGTACTATAAGAAATGATGAGCAGGCTGGCTTCAGAAAAACCTGGAAAGACTTATATGGACTGATGCTGAATGAAGTGAGCAGAACCAGGACAACATTGTACACAGTAACAGCCACATTGTACGATGACTAACTTTGATAGACTTAGCTCTTCTCAGCAATGCAAAGATCTAAGACAATTCCAAAAGACTCATGGTGGAAAATGGTATCCACAGCCAGAAAAAGAACTTTGGATTCTGAATGCAAATGGAAGCATACTATTTGCTCTCTCTCTCTGTCTCTCTCTCTCTCTCTCTCTCTCTTTGTTTTGTTTTTTCATTCTCATGTTTCATCCCATTGATTCTAATTCTTCTTTATAACATGACTAATATGAGAATATGTTTAATATGAATGTATATATAGGGCCTATATCAGACAGTATGGCATCTTGGGGAGGGAGGAGCAGAGGGAGAGGGAGAAAATTTTAGACTCAAAATCTTATGGAAGTGAATGTTGAAAACTAAAAATAAATAAATCAAATTTTAAAAAATAATGGCTCAGACAAAGAGAAACATTCAGAGGTAGAGAAACATCCTCTGTAGGAGGAGTATAGAGAAGGGAGATGATAAATAGACTGTGCAATGATCCCAGGGTAGGGGCAAAGGAATAAGAATGTTTTTAAACAATATTTTATTTTTTCCCAATTACATGTGAAACAATTTTAACATGCATTTTTAAAAATTCTGAGTTTGCAATTCTTTCCTTCTCTCCCCCTTTGACAGTAAGCAATTTGATATAGGTTATACATGTGCAATAAGGCAAAACATATTTCAATATAAATCATGTGGTGAAAGAAGACACAGACCAAAAAAAAAACTACATACACAAAAAAAGTGAAAAATAGTATGCTTCGATCTGTATTCAGACTCCATTGATTCTTTCCCTGGAGGCAGATAGCATTTTTTTTTTATCATGAGTCTTTTGGAATTTTCTTGGATCTTTGTATCGCTGAGAATAACTAAGTCATTCAAAGTTCTTCATCATACAATATTTCTGTTACTATGTTCAAAGTTCTCCTGGTTATGCTCACTTTATTTTTGCCTTAGATCATGTAAAAGTCTTTCCAGGTTTTCTTGAAATCATCCTGCTCATCATTTCTTATAAGACAATAGTATTCTATTACCATCATATAGCACAACAGGAATAAACATTTATTGTTAGTTTTGTTTTGTTTTTGTTTTTGGTTAGGCAGTGGTGTTAAGTGACTTGCCCAGGGTCACATAGCTAGTAAGTGTTATGTGTCTGTGGCTGGTTTTGAACTCAGGTCCTCCTGAATCCAGGGCTGGTGCTCCATCCACCATGCCACCTAGTTGCCCCAAGAATAAACATTTATTAAGCACCTAGTGCCAAGTACTTAACAAAAATTATCTTATTTAATCCTCACCACAACCCTGCAAAGTAGGTACTGTTATTATCCCCATTTTATAGTTGAGGAAACTGAGGCAGATGGAGGTTAAGTGACTTACCCAAGGTCACATAGCCAGTAAGTGTCTGAGGGCATAGTTGAACTCTGTTCTTCCTCACTCCAGGCTCAGCATTCT